GGCGCTTCGTTTTTCCGGGTGACGCCGACTTTTCCATCACGAATTGACCATATTTCAGGTGAATTTATGGTTTTTTTTTTGCGGAACAATTTATGATTTTTTTTTTGCGAAACAATTTATGATTTTTACTTTTCATTACGCAGGGGCAAATTTGCTATTCTTTCAGCCTTACACCACACTTTGAATTGCGAAACACTCGCTCTGTTTCAATGGTTTTGCGGGTTCTTTTAGCAAAAACTGCTTGTACGCATGCCTGTTACAGTGCGATTGAAGGCGCATGTGTTCCACTTCTTTTCCGACGGGCTTAGTGCATTGACAGGACTGTAACCGCCATTTCAATTCACTAGCTTGTAAATGCAACCAGGGCTTCCAGAAAGCCAGGCCGTCGGCTTACTTCACTGATATTTTTCAGAGGGAGAAGCCGTTGGCAGTTTCCAGCCAGTAGTTGCTAGGCATTATCACTTACATCGTGAATGGAAATGTGTGTGGTAAGATCTCTGTAGTTTCCAACTTTTGGATTGGCTGTAAGCCAGTGTTTAGAGGCACTCTCATTGATATTCCGAAAGTGATTACCAGGTACAGGCGTGCTTGTCGATGTAGGTACTGCAGGAGCGCCTACTTCATACGAATTTTTACGGTCCTTGCTTATGATATTTGAAAACGAATACTTGTGAGTAGGAACATATCGGTTGGATTTATGTCGCTGGTGGAATCAGGCTGGCGTCAGTTCACTTTTTTCGAGAAGCACAATGTATGTGATCCAGAAAATCCAGAAAGCAAATTCAGTGGTTTAAAGGTTTCCTTTTGAATTTCGCATATTCGAACGAAACCTTAGTTTTGTGAGTGATGCAGCCGATAGTTGTTTCACATTATTAGGAATGAGGAAGCGTCAGAGTCTCAGGCTGAAGTAGAAATGATTAAAGTTGGCTTGGAATCGTTGTAAATTTCGGCGAGATGGACGCTAAATATGACTAGACAAAAGTCTTAAGGGGACAAAGCAAGCGCAAAATAGATATAATTCAGCTGCAGGTTGATAATTTGCGTCAAAATGGTGTGAGAATGGGAACGAAAATTTCAGAATAGGTGTTGAAAGTTGCAATTTGTGGAGCTATTTTGGTCAGGGACATCATTCGGCCGACAGAGGAAAGGATAGGAAGAGATCTAACAAAAAAACTGTGTTATGGATGTTTTTAGACTTAATTACTTGTCAAACGTTTTCTCGCTTCATTACTTATTGAAATTAGCCAATTTTAAAAGTAGGAGAAGTAAATTTCAGGATCTGAAGGCATGTTGTTCAGCATCTGGTGATGGTTTCACAGTATTTGGGGAACCGTCTGGCGCCATATTCAAATTGTCTCGTAACCTGAAGGAATACTGTTGGATTGCTCATAAGTGTTCACTTGCAAATATCGCGCTTGCCGGCCTTATTCTTGCGACTGTTGGCGTAAGCGGTTTCCATTTCTAACTGAAGACTGATAAGGAGCCTATTGATAGGGTTTTCAAATTGACAGTTTTGAAGACCTTCCCAATTTTTGATAATAATACTGCTAAGCTTTTTTTTTTTTAATGTACTGTTGAACGAACACTGAGAAAACGTCAGTTAGAGGGATGACTCTCACTTGGACAGCTATGCGGGGTTCGGCACCTACACACGTGGTTCAGAATCTGTCGGTTGCATTGGTGGCGGGGAAGAACGGGGCAAAGGTGAGACGAATAATGCTGCAACGAATAATTGCAGGAAGACGAGGAAGGTGTAAACTCGTTGGTGAAGTTGTGGCAGTTAGACCGAGTT